TTGGCTTTCGAAAAACGAATATTTTCTTGTTTATATATAGTGTTGTCATTGGTAATAGAAAATCAAATAGTTTTCACTGTTAAATTTAATTGTAGACTTTATTTCATATCTAGTCAAAACCATCCAAATTATTAAATTAAAAATTATTGTAACCTAACCGAGTTTAAGACGTAGTAAATCTACGCGCACTATTATATCACGCGCAACGCAGCGCAAGATCAGCTAGTAATAATTAGTATATACGTATATTATATTATATTACATTATATTAAATTTTAATTCGTTACAAATCAGTTTTTGATGGTTGACTATACGTCATATCAACATTTAATTTAGTTAAATAATTATATTTTGATTAAATTTTCTTGAAATAAATAGAACGTTTCCTGTGAATAAGCCGCGTGGACAAGTATTATTAAATTTTTATACGTATTGACACAAATATATTTTAAGGGTTAAAATGAATTATTGTTATCTGATAATTATTTTTGACATATTTTTAAAATTATATCTATTCAGTTTTTCTACTTGCGTTGCTACTCACTTGACGAATAACGATTATTTTTGAGTTATCAAAATCCACGTGAACTGTAATTTTTTTAACTTGAAGGTAACATAGTCACTTTATGGATTTAAAAATAAAGTATTTCATTACATTTTTATTTTAATGATGATTAGAGTGACTTAATCATTTTTTTATATAGTATAAAAAATTTACTCTATTAGTGAACACGATGACTATTTGACTTTAGATATGCTATTATAGGTAAGTTCGATTATATCAATATATTCAATGGCGTGAGAAATTGTAAGCGTTTCATCTGTATAAGGTCCAGTCCGGTTTAGTTGTCTTAAGCACAATTCCGTTTTATTATACACTATCTACATTGATTACTGAAGCAACTATTCTGAACTCAGTTGGCCTCGGCTTATGAGTTATGACGGGTTCATAGGTTAATATCAAAGTATAATAATTTTAGTCTTCCAATACTTTATAGCTAAAATATTATAAATTATCGGTTATTATTAATTATTACATATTTGTAGATAATCAATTTATATTAGGTACAAATAATAATTAGTAAACAGCACCAAAAGTTTTCTTGGTGTATTCTGCTGGCTTGTAGTAGTGCAGCATAATAAATAAGCTTAACATTTTCATATTTTATATAGTTGTGACATTTCATTGCAAATATTTATTATAAAAATGTAATTACTTACTTCAAATACGTAAGAAACTTAAATAACAAATCAAACAATTAAAACTTATTTCATATAGGTAAGTACTTAATAAATTAAGATTTGATAATAAAATCGATTTTAAACACGAGCTTTGTCATATTATCGATTGTTTGTTAAAACAAATTGCAGCGGATCTTACAACAAAAGAGAACTGGAAACTTTCTAATGATTTTAAGTAGTAATAACTAGACAATTAATGTCATATTTAAATATTTTTTTTTGTTTTGACTTTGTAATAAATGGGAAGTATAAATTAACATAATCAATTATCTCAACGATACGAGTTCTAAATGCATTTAGGAAATTAACTTACCTAGGCAGTAGATACTGTAACAATAATAACACAGTTCACGGTTTTAATATAGGTAGGTATTATAAAATTTTATAAATTTAAAAAAAAAACTAATCTTTTTTTTTTTTTAATGTAGCTCATGGCTTTCATTACTACATTACAAAGATTATTTTAATTTAAATGTTGTGTCTAATGGATCTCAATTCATCACTATAATTTATTACGCAGTAAAGTACACATTAAGTACATATATTATCTACAGCCACTTTAAAATCACTTTTTAATCCAATAGTCTTTTAACCCGTGAGGCTTAACGTCTAAAATGAAACTATCACTGATAGTGTCTGATAGGGCAAGTATTACATTACATTTGCAAACTTGAATTCAATAACAATTTAATAATTACCTTAAAAAGTTTTTTACATACTATTTGAATTTAGCATATTTTAAGATATTATGTATAAAAAACAGTTTCTAATTTAACAAAATGAAAAAGATTTCAAGTATGCAGTGACGCCATTGTCACCTAAAATATTTTTTTTTTAATCAGTGGAAGACATAAGCGCCAAAATTAGATAAGAACAAAAAAGTCGTATCGAACGAAAGCGCCAAAATCGTATCGTACTATCGTACAAATGCGCCAAAATCCTAGATAACTTGGGTAGGCTATTTAAATTTAGAACTAAGCGTATATCATTCAATAACTCCAAACGGTTAATCTTAATCGACAAATTTATTATCTGATTATAATAGATTGTCACATAGACAGTGTGTGAGCAGTTTTGTGTTATATTGTTACTATAGGTACCTACCTATTTCAGAAGCATGTTTTAAAATTAATTTTACAAAAATTATTACTAACTAGTATAGGTGTTGCGTGCATTTTAATTAAAGATCAAAAATATAGATTTTTACGAGAAATGGCCTGCGGTAATGTGTCATTGAGGTGTACCAAGAGAAATAATAATTGTACAATGGGAGAAATACCAGAATGGTGAATAAATCGTATGGTGTATGTAAAAAAAATTGGATTAAAAAATCAACCAATTAATTAAAATGATATTTATTTGTATGTTTATTATTGACAATTTTTTATAAAATCAAAACATCAAACGATACCTTTAGCGCTTTTGTCATATGTTGACTGTTGAGTATACCTATAACGTATAACAGGTATATAATATTAGATTGGCGCTTATGTCCGACATAATTTGGCGCAAATTATATATAATTTTTGTACCTTTAACTACCATCCCAACCTATCAGATGTTTATTTTATCACAAGATGTTCAGAATATTTAAATGATATCATCCTTTTCAACTTCTGCTCTCTTTTTGCAACTATCTATAAGCAAATTTTAAAGTTTTTCTTGATACATGGTAGTTCAAAACCAGGTTTTTACTCATTTTAAGCGCAAAGATCTACACCCATACACTTAAATTATCTATAGAGTATAGGTACTATTAATTGTTATAGTTGAACCATAAGATCGGCGCCACTGTATATGCCTACATAATATGAGCTACACCATTTATCCGACAAAGTAATACACAATATGTAAACCGCAATCGGTACTGTTATTTTATTTATACATTTTCGATTTTTTATAATTTAATGGATTGATACCTACGTTTTTTTTCGAAAAACTTTTTTTTTTTAATTTTAATAATCGTTTCTCTCACAGATATGTAGGTGATGGCTCTTTTTTAAATATATACATTCCTTTCAATAATTAAGTACATTGTAGAATATGACCAATTTGAAAAGTACATGAATCTTGTGGTTGAAGAATTTTTTGTATTTTTAAGAATTTTATTAAGAGGACGTGATACCCGCATGTGTTGTCTCCGTCTTACAAAAGTGTAACATAACAAATTTTACGCTCAGCAGATCACGTTTTGCTCCGTTGGTTTAAAAATTAGAATGAATCGACCTCTTAAAAAATTTAAAGGTAAAAATATTATTTAGACGACTCGTGGGCTTTTTACTATATTTTAATTTTGAAGCGAGTTATACGTAAGTATTTTAAAATTTACATAAAAAAAATGTTTATAAGAGGTTAATTTCCTCTTATTTTTAAACTAACGGAGCAAAACGTGATCTTCTGAGCGTAAAATTTGTTATGTTATGCACTTGTAAGATGGAGACAACACATGCGAGTATCACGTCCTCTTAAGAGAAACCAAATTTTGCTTAGAATAAAGTAAGTGTTTTCATATTTAATTACAACTTACGTATTGTTCTAATAAATTAATAAATAAATAGATGGTTGATTAACTACATCAATAATTCAAAATTCAAGTTTTAGTTATAAACTTTTGCTTTTCTTTTAAGCAAATTATCATTAAAACAGTTCTTTGAAAATTGTTATATATTATACCAATATCGTAACTTTATTTAATAAAAATATTTTAAAGAATGATATTGTAATAATTTTCCTTTTATATTATATAGATAATTAATGTATTTTATTTTATCTTAAATGCTTTACACTACAATTACTATCTAGATTTTACTAATAACATCGACAAAACTGAGCAAATATTGTAGTTATATAATTAAAATATGACTTAGGCCATTATAATTTTACATTAAATGTAATTAATATTTTATATAACTGTATTTAAGGTTCATCATAGCAAGAGTTATAATCCACGATATTCTATTCATTTGTAATATTAATTAACAAAGTGAGAAGTATAATTGCATAATACATGTATTACACATGACAAAAATCAAATTAATATTATTTTTAAAAGAAATATTTTATTCATTAAAATGTATTGCACGCGCCCATAACTGATAATATACCTATATAACAATTCCTAAATACAACAAAATGTTTACTAAAACTTTCAAGGTCAGTAAAATTTTAAAATTAAAATTGTACACACATAACCTTATTATTATAATACTTGCCAATGACCACTACTCACTCTTTTTGAATTCACTATCTTTATTTTTTTTATAAAATTTGAAATTGATATATTTATGATAATTTTGCGATCATTTCGTGCCAGTCTTTCAAAAATCAAAATTTAATTAACATGATTTAGATATGTGTTTTACATGTTAAACATTTCATATTTCATATTTAGTATTTAAATAATATAATTTTCAAAATAATTAAAAATCAGGTTATTTTAATAAAAATAATTCATAAATAGGTACTGTAATAGTGACTGCATACATATATATATATAAAATGATAATAGTTTATAATATCAAACAATAAATGGTTTAATTTTTTTTTTTAACAGAAAGAAGATAGAGACAAGATATAATATAAATGTATAAAAATAATAATACTATTTTTAATCAAGCATTGAGTTGATTTGATTCCTCCTTGATTAATAATTATTAACATTTTATAAATAATACAGGTTATCTTAATACATATATTTTAACATAAAAATTGCAATTGCCGTAATCTATACTAAACATAATATTTTATAAAATATATCATATCAAAGTAGTCATATCATAATACTGCTGTAAGTCTATATTTGTTGGCAATTGATGTACACAAAAATACATGGTTTTTGCTCAATAAAATTACATTCCTGATTCGGCTATGCCTTCGTCATCTGTAACATTAAACAATACATGTAAATATGTTATTTCACAAAAATTAAAATTATTGCTACTATTTTGATAACTACCCAGCATTAGTTTATTATAAAATAAATCAATTGATGTATTTACATTTTGTCATCGTGATCAAAATACTAAATTTTAAAATTAAAAAGCAAAGCAGTATTAGTAAAAAGTCATAACACTTAATAAAATTTGATTAAACTATACAAAAAAACAATGTAATATTAGGCAACAAACATTCTACTTTAAAATAAAAAAATCACACGCAATATTGTAAATTCTACGTACCATTGTAAATCTTTAAGTTATTCCATTCTCTCAGCAGTGAAAAAAAAAATTGTTTATAAATAATTAAAATTTAACAAAAAAAATATTATACACCAGAGATGCTAACAATAGTTAGTTTTGATTAAAATCATTAAAGTATAAAGTATAAATTTTTACAATTATTATCATTGTTAAATGCTTAAATACTTAAATATATTAAATCCTAATAGTTAATACTTATTACTTATCACTTACACAGGTATACTACACACACACAAATTTACACGCAAAAACTCAACATTCAATTTTTTTCTCACTTTTTTGTTTACAAATATGGTTTCAAATTTTGTGCTCCTCATCATCAATGTCAATGCTGTCATCAATGTTTTACCATTATTGCAATACTACACCTAATAGTCATTATGAAGAAAATTTGACTGTTAAAATTGTGTACATATAAAATTAGCTTATAAACGATAAATATCATCTGAATTTTTGTTAGAACTAGATTTTCGCCTCCACCATGAAGACCACCATGATTTATTATATGCATTTGTCGTAATAATTGTGTTTATAGTTGTTATATTATTGTAGGAAGTAGCTTTTGATAATTTTCTATTTGTTATTTTAGTTGTTGTATCACTATATTTGGGCCAAAAGCCCCCCACTACTGTTGGTAAACCACTAGTCACAGCAGCATTTAACCATAATACACCACATCGTACGATAAAGGCAGTTGTCTTTGAATTCAACATAAGTGACGTACCTTCAAAAGCACGGTTATGATGAGCCAACATTGTAGCTGTAGTCGTATTGTTCATTAGCTCCAAATCTTGTTGTTCCTGATCAAGTAGTTCTTGTTGATCGCTATTGCCACTGTTTTGTTGTAGTATACAAACAATGCATTGATGAATACAAATGTACTGTTGCTCGGTTTGTACCATCCATACACGTTCCTTGCGCATTGCATACACAATACCATACACATCAATATAATTATTTACTTGTGTAGGATCATTGAGTGATTGTAAAACTCTATCCAGAGCTATAAAAGTACCAGATCGTCCAACACCAGCACTAAAATACAACATATTATATTATTATTAACATCAACAATATTGTCTTGATTGAGTTTATTTTTAAACTTGTAATTAAAAAAAATAATAAAATAGTATGCAAATTAATACTTAAAATATTTGAATGAATTATCTACAAATATTATCATTGTTATTATACACAATTAAAAAATAAAATTATAAATTCATTGTTATTACCTGCAATGGACTATTATAGGGCGGTGGTGTTGTTGCAGTTGGTGCTGATGTTGTTCAATATTATTTCCTACACCCGCATGGTGACGTTCTCTAAAAGCACGAACAAAACGGCAAAGTGTTTGTGGAGGACTAGGTACGCCAAAATCAGGCCAAGTAGTAAAATGGAAATGTCTTATTACTCTTTTTTGATCATTCTACAGGCAATATAAAAATATAAAAAAACAATTTTAACAAAAGAACTTTTGAAAATCTTTAGATATTAAATTCAATTTAACACCACATTTTCAACTTAGAGTAATTTAAATTCTTACCCGACAAACCATAAATTCAGTTATCACCCAATCAGAATAGTGAGTGTCGTTCAGTAAAGTGACACATATATTGTCACCATAATAAACAGGGTGAGTATCATATGGCCAATAATGATCACATTTCTCGCGACCTTTTTCCACACATCTAGTTAACATTATTATACTCCTTGCATTACTTTCCCAACACATACGCCAAAAATCGTCCCTTGTTGAATGTAACGGTCCCTGTGTAACGATAAATTCTCTAACGCTGTTGTGACCCTGAAACATTAAGTATTAAAAAATTAAATTAAATAATCTACAAAAAAAAATATACATATAAGTTTAATTCAGACAAAGCAAAACATTATTATGGTAAAAACATGTATGATTAATTAAATTTAACAAAATCTTTCCAAACAAAAATGTTAAAATTATTTAGTTAACAATTTTTGAGTTTTAAATTACCGGAACATAATTAGCATTTATATAGTCAGATCCTTCTTCGTCATCTACTGGCTGCAACTTAAAACGGCTATGATCATAAGGCAAAATGTTGGTGAATCTATTTTTAGGACGATTGCATGGTAAATCAGCCGCTGTAGTTGTTGTACCCCCATTAGTAGCTGCAGCAGCTGCTGCATGTTTTAAATCTTCAAATTCTTCAGAAAATCGAAAGTCAGAATCAGCTGACATTTGAGCGTAGTGTTCCCCAAATCTATCCACTCGTACAGGCCGACTAATTTTCATAGTTAAAATTCACATTTAATAATAGTTAAGTATAGAATAATAAGAGTACTAAGGATTTGTTTACTTTAAAATATTAAAATCTTCTTATAAAATAATTATTATCACAATATAAATTATATTATAAGTTGATTAAAACTTTTTATACCTTATTTGTAAATCACATGACAGTTGTTGTTGTTGTTGTTGAACACTGGAGGAGTTTAACATGTCACCTCCACGGCCACCACCACGACCACCACCGTTTAAGTTTCTAGTTGATGAGTTTTCTAGAAATTTCCCTCCTGTGATTCTTCGTTGACCTGTCCCTGCTTGTCTTTTACCACCTCCAACAGAACTCTTCATTATTCTACTCTTGCCACTACCACACAAGAACCAACGACTTCGGCCACTTCCAGTGGCTAATGCAGCACAAACAGCAATTAAAATAAAAGCAGCAGGCAATCCTACTACAACTGACAACACAATGGCTGTAGCTGATGTTGGAGCTGATGAGTTGTCTTGATCTGAAAAAATTAATATATTAAATATGCATCATTACCTATTTTATATTGTTTTATATTAGAATTTTTCAAACCTGTCTGTATAGGAAATGAAAACATAGTGTCTGTAAATTTGTCATTAGCTGTAAATGCGCGTACTTTAACACGATAAATTGTACCCGGTTTTAGTGGACCATTGCAATATTGCGATGATAATAATTTCCCTCCACTTATGGAATTAGTATTACAATGTGTATCTTGCCCAATTGTAAAATCTTCCACAGTTTTGTTTGTTGAAAATGGGGAATATGGATCAAGAACCTGATGAATAAAAATAAATATTATTAATACATCTGTCAAAAAAATTTAATAATTTAAAATTATTTTAATATCTTCTTTATATTTTTATGGTTAAACCCTATTATAATCATCCATATTCCCATAAGATACACAATTAAAATAATAAAACCATTGCATAGGACTTGATGATAATAAACCGTTGAGATGTTTGATACCTAATCATGTACTAAAATAGTATTGTACCTGATAAGGAGGCCAAATTGTATATGCTTGTACATCTTGCCAACTGGGCATCTCAAGACCACTGGCATTTTTAGAATCATCTTCTGCCACAATCAAAGTATAGGCTATCACTCGGCCATTTTGGTCTCCAAAATAATTCTTTCTGAAACGTACTTGTATGGTATTTGTGGTTCGACTTACTTCAGTTGGTACAACTTGGGCACTTGGTTTAGGTGGTGCTGTCATAAAAATAATTAATATAAATAAAAATGTATTGCTAAATATATTTCTAAGTAAATTTACCTAAAATTGGCATTCTCTGCTCCAAACTAGCTACAGGACCACGACCAACACGAGTTTCGCCACTTATGTTAAATACATATTGACGACCCGGTATTAGACCTTTAACAGTTGCTCTATTTCTCCATGGCTCGAAATATGATGTTTTAGTTGTATCACTGACTTCAATTTCAGATCCTAAAGGTGGCTGACCACTTAATAAACCTCCACTACTTAGTAAATTATTTATACCTAATCCCAACATATTTTCTTCTTCTTCACCACCATTCAACTGAACCACAGTATTAGTAGACGCAGATATACCATCGGATGACGACGAAGTTGTTATAGCAGTCCAAGAAACCACATAGCGTAAAAGTATACCATTATGTTCAGACTCTGGTAACGTCCACTCTAATGTAAGATGCCCAGGTTGTACATCTACAGCTTGGAAATTTACACAACGCCCTGGTACCCAGTCCAATGTACTAAAAGTACCAGATACTGGAACTGAACGTCTCAATAACAATGCTGCTGCATAGCCTCCTACGCCACTGTTTAATATTTGTTGTTGAGATAAAGATCCTAAAGATCCTCCACCGCCAGCTCGCACAACAACAGTGAATGTATAATTACGAAATGGTCGAAGACCTTGCACTAAAAACCATGGTTTATCAGTCAAGTTTTGTATGAGTAACCCTCCTCCCCCGTCTGAGGATGATTTAGAGGATAAATATGAATTTGCAATAGAAGAAGCTGTAGTGATAATTGTAGCGTCGATATCTAAATATTCAATTTCAAATGCATCATATTGTCCACGGGGTAGTGTCCATACAAGATTTACAGAATCACGGGTTATTAGAGTGGCATTTAAATCAGTAATTGGTTCTGGGTCTGTGAAATAATATACACCAGTTAAGATTATTATATATATATTATAATTTTATGTAATCATATCTGAAAATGTACTTACAAAGACGATCTTGACGACGCAAGGGTTGACTTAGAACTCCATAAGCTGATACAGTCCATACAGTTATATCATATAAGCGCCCAGGGACTAAAGAGTGCCAAGTAACTTTCCATTCATTATCTGATGCCCATTTTTCAGCAATAAACACTGATCCTGTAGATGATGTAGATGCTATTCCAGATCCTGGATCTGAAGGAGTGATAGTAGACGATTGATACGCTGTAGATTGTGTGCTTGTTTGATGACTAGCTTCTGCTAGTTGAAAACGGTATTTAATGAAACGACTAGCAGTTTGTGGAGTAGGAGTATACCGCAAGGTCAATGTGTCAGTGGCAAGTTGCTGATCATTTACAGCCAATATTTCAGATAAAATCAATGGCACTGAAATTATAAAATATATTAAAAATAATTTAAATAAGTTTTTACTGTACAATATATAAAAAAAAAAACTACATAATAACAATGAGATAACATATTTACTAAAAACTCACTTGTATGTGTTTCCAGGATGACAGGATCACTGTACATAGAATGTGAACATGTACGTACTCGTAACCCATAACCTGCACCAGCTATTAAATCATCTAAACCCAAATTCACTAAAATAGTTCCACTAGATCCATTAGGATATCCAGAATCGGTAAAGTTTTTCCATCCGCTAGAAGATGTACCAACACTGCTACTACTCCAAGTTGTAGCTGTTGTAGTCCAACTAATAGAGGTAGTAGTTTGATTTTGATCTGCTAGTGGTGGTGGCTTCAGAAGTATGTACTCAACAGAATAGTAATCAATTAAACCTTCTGGGCGAGGGAATTGTATAGTCAAGTTTGTAGCATCCACAAGCAAAGCTATGTTACTCACAGGGTTTGGCCCTAATAAATAAACACAAAACATATTATTAAAATTTTAAAATTTAAACAATCTTGTCAATTATAAAAAAAAATTATATATATATATAAACAAACATCAAATTATTCACACTTTTAGACCTAAAAATAGTTCTATGAAAAACTACATTTTGTTAAATAATTGATTTAAAATAAATAATACAGATATACTAACGTATTGTATAATTAACTAGCAGTGGGTATGGAGACTCCAAAGATCCATAAGTTTGGGTGTTAACTTGAATTGTGTATCGTTGTCCAGCCACCATATCTGCGATTTCTGCCTCAGTTGTTTGTACTCCAGGTAACCTAATCCATTGTTGTTGGCCACCATTAGAATCAATGGTACGATATTTAATAGAATATTCAGTGAACAAGCCTTCAGCTGTAGGGCCATTCCATTTCAATAAAACAGAGTTCGACCCAATATTTGAGGCAGCAGTTATATTCTCTACTTGAAGATCAGTAGGAGGCCTAGGATCTAAAGTAAAAATTAAAATTCATTAAATCAAACATCAAGACTTTAAAATATTGTTGGATTATTAATTAAATTTTAAACTTACAAACAGCTTGAAAGTAATCATGAGGTTCAGATAAAAGTCCATGACTTATGGCAAATACTTTAAGTTGATAAGCTGCTCCAGGGTATAAATTTCTTAAGGCCATGCGCCATTCATTAGTTATCCTTACAGTTGGTATATCATCTATAAGAAGAAAAATATTGAACGATAAAAAACCAAATTTAAAATAAATATGTAGTATTATACACATGATACTTTGCAGAAAAATGTATATTATTATAATTTTACAAACCAGTATCATTACGACGAAGTACCACTTGAAACGTTTCTTGTCGACTATTGACATCTGTTTTCCATGAAACATTTAATCCATAATCTAATGTTGGTCTTAAATCTTCTATAATTGGTGCTGATGGTTCTGTAAATAAAAAAAATAAAAATGTAATAAATACTTCAAATTGTACATTTAATAGTTTAAAATAAATAATGAATAATATTTGACTCACTCATTGTATGGTAGACAACTGTATCGTTAGAAGCAACACCAGAACTAAGCGACTTAACAGATATAGAGTAATTACGACCTGGTAATAATGATTCCAATGTGCATTCAATAGGGGTTGATGGATCTTCAATTGACTCTCTAGTAGCTTGAACTACCAAAACATTACTATCGGTAGAAGTTGTTGCTGTAATAGCAGCTGATGCTACAGCTGATGATGTGGATTGTTGTCGCGAGGAACCGTTTAGTGATTGATTAAGGTTATTCCCCAATGATAATACTGATGATACAATCAGAGAATCGGAAGCAGATGAAGAAGATGATAGAGAACCTGTAAGAACTTCTGCATAGCTCACTTGATATGCATCTTGCCAACTCATTGCATCAGCTTTCCATGTTAATTGTAACACACCACCACCTCCATCTTCATTCAAATTATTTCCATTTGTATTACCACTACTTATAACTTTTAAGTCGATTACAGGTAATGGTTCTATAAAATATAAAAAACATAAATGCAATTAGCCTAATAGATCTAATATCAGGTATAGTTAGATATTTTAAATATTACATACTTAATGTTACATTCACAGAAGCAGGCCAAGAAGCCACTTTTCCAGAAACTGTCTTCACAAGAACTTGATAAGTTCGACCTGGTTGTAATAACTGTGTATCGTATACATCACACCATTGTGTTGATCCTCCAGAATTAGAACCATCACCATCACGAGGACGAGTAAGTGTTATTGGAGTAGTTGTTTGTTGGGTTTGATCACTAATGCTACGATGAGATGCTAGTTGATTTAATGAAGATTGTGGTGATGGCCTCTTAACATTGACAGATATTTGATATTTGTCAAATTCACTACACATAAATCAAATAAAATAACAAACAAATAAATAATTTAAATATTATATGTAAGAACACAATATTCGTTTTTATATGTAATAAAAGAAATTTTATAATATTATGATAAATAAATTGAATTAATAAAATTTATTTTATTTTATATAAAATAATAATGATAAATTTTAATCATAAAATAAAGCTACTAATTTAATTTATCCTTATAAATAATACAAGTTTTAATTTTTATCATTTTTATTTAATATTTTAATTATTACTTTTATTCCAAAGTTTCAAAGTAGTTGTTTAGTATATAAAAATTAATATCTTAGAAAATAAAAATATCAATATATTATATTTATTATAACTTAGTTCTATGAATAAATAATAACTTACCAAAGTCCTTTTGGTGGTTCCCAGTGTATTCGTAGACCATATGAACTTATATATCTAGGATCTACAGCTACATTTAATGGTTTTAAAGGAATAGTACGGTATTGAGCAGTTGTTGGTGCAGATGTTTCATCTTCACTTACAGTGTGTACACTTATGTTGTATGCACGCCCAGGAACAAGACCTTTAAATGCAGCTTGTGCTGGACCTGGTGGTTCACCTTCCCTTTCAACATAAACTGTTGACTCAGGCGAATCCTGAGGTTCAACACTTACCTAGAAAATAATTTTACAATTAAATGGAAAATAGTTTTGTGAAATAAAATACATAAAGTTTCAAGGAAAAATATTCATATTTACATTATTAAAAAAAATTTTATATATATTCATAAATTGTATACTACATTAATTTAATATTAATTATCGAACATTAAAATTCAATAGCTCATACCTTATAATGAGTGAATACACTAGCTGGATAACTAGGTTGCCAAAGCACCAACAATGTAGTTTCATTTCTGAACCATACAATAAATTTTCCTGGAGTACTGGGTTCTGTAAACAAACAAAATTGTTTAAATATTAGTAAAACAATTTATAAAATGAAAAATATTCTCATGTTATATATTTAAAGACTTACTAGTTGTAAAATTTTTAGATATATAAGCTACGCTTTCTTTATGATCATACACAGTAAACAATTGTAACTGATAGGTAGCTCCAGGTGTCAAATCTTTCAAAACATATTGTTGCAACGTATCTCTAGATAAATCAGTTTGAGATGAAGCAGTGGATGGAGAGCCAGTAGCATCAACAATTTTCACCAACTGTTCTTGTTGTTGTTGCACTATACTTGATGTAGAAGATGGAGACAAACTGATAACCTATAATCAAGAGTAAGATCGTCATAAATTTTACAAATTTGAAAACATACTCAAGAGTGACCAAAAGGTCAATCACTACATAAGTTCTAGGCAATCACACTCTTTTGTCTTATCCTACATTTTTTCAAAAAAAAAATAACAAGTTAAAAGTAATAATTTGTAACAAATATAATAAAATACGTATTGTATAAAACTATGAAATTAAACGTGATTATTACTTATTAATATTCTAAATAAAAGAAATAAAACAGTGTAACATGCGTATATTTAAAATATATTTTTATTTATTGAGAACCTTTTTTAATAGTCGATTGTGACAACCTAGAAAAACTCTGAGGTCAATCATAAGTCTATTAGCCACCTCTACTATGTAATGTAAATAAATATATAGAACAATAACGAAATAAAAAATAGAGAAGTTTAATAAAAAAAATAGAAATAATATAAAGACCAAAATTTGAGCTATCTTTCTACTTTTTTCTCTTTAAAATAAAAAAATTACACATTGTCATAAATTTAAGAAAAGTGATGATGAATTACTAATTTAATAATGATGCAATTATCTTCTTTTTTTTTATTAATTTTAATTGAATTGTACCACTAATACTTTGGTTGTTTAGAAAATAAAAATAAATTAAGGCTACTTTAATATTAATTGCAATAAATCTATTGTATACTTTAAATATCATTACTTTCAGTTTAAATCCATTGTAGTTTCCCAACACTGGAGGTGACCATTGGACGTGGGCTGTTTTTCCACCTTTTACAGTTACAGTTAAATTTGTAGGTGGATCAGGAGCTATTTTAACATTTTTAAATAATGAAACAATTAGTATATACCTAAGAACATGAGATTATTATCTTGTATAACTTTAAAATTAAATGTATTATCCAAATCATATTTTTCATACCAGTAGTAATTGATGCAGTCCAAGTGAGCAACCATTGTGGCTGGGGTGGTAAAGAACTAGTAACAGCTCCATTTATGAGTGTTTCTGTACCAGATCCAACTGGAACAATTACACTTCCTGGAGTTGGTTGTGGGGAATTGTTACTTATTGAATTGCTGCCTATGCTTGAATTACTATAGTATAACCAAAAGTCATAACGGGTCCCCGGCAAGGCTTGAGAAAAATGTATTACATCACCTAAAAGTTTATCAAAGATTTTAGTTAAAAACTAATTGATAAGGGACAAAGTAGTAATACTGTAGAGCTTTAGAATAGACAACAATATAATGTTTCAATACCTATGTCTTGAGCAGCAATAGTTGTGTTTGCTGGGGGATTGCCGTATGGAGGTAGATAATCAAATCTATAATAAGCTTGTTGTAATGGAGATGCAAATGGCAACGAATTTGATGGAAGCAATTGTATAGCTAAATCAGCCGCTTTCTATAGAAATATTTAGAAGTTATAAATTTTGATAAAATATACCTAAGTAATAAGTAAATTTATAAATCACATAAATATATATACTTACACCAGTTTTAACAGCAAAGAACAGCAGTAATACTATCCACATTTTCATTGTTGACTTATTGATACTTAAACTAATAGTAGAAAATGAGCAACAAAGTTAATTACTTATATTACAGCTATAAAAACAAGCCGTTTTGAGTATAGTAGATTGAGCAAGAGGAATTGTAATATGTAGACCCGTTACTATTAGGAATATAGGTACTACATTTTGCAAAATTACATTGAAATACTGTTTGTTGAATGACGTCTTCAGTTTTATCACAACACATACAGAAAAAGCCGCCGATCATATCTCAATAACCGTTTGATGTGCAGTTCTGATTGATATTGATAACAATCACAGCATTTTGTTAGAAATCACAAAGCAATCAAATATATTGTCGTTAAAAAGTTCTTGTCCGATTTGTAAACTGTCTCGCTGTTATCAACGTTTCAACTTCTGTGCGCCAATACGAGTCGTTACAATAGTTGTGGGAAGACCGATATTGAGAATACACGATGGTGTAATACACAAAACACTTATCAAAATACAAATACACACATAGATAAAACACTGGACACCGAGGGCTAAGATCTAATAATTAATAATCACAATAATACTGACACAATTACAACCAATCGATACTGTTTTTGGTATACACGGATAGAAAAAAAAAAAAAATTAAAATACAAACGTATAGGAATATATGAGAAAAAAAGTGTCTCGTGATTTCACACGACGAAATCGGGCGAGAAAGTAAAAAAACGACTGCTACTGTAATACCTGTGTCGTTGCGCGTTTACCACCACCATCAACCACTACCACGACCGTCTACCGTACACTAACGAACGGGCGAACACCAAAACCGAGTGTCGCTGCTTTCGTAATCTGTTCGCGGATCCCTAAGGCCTGGTAAACACGTAACGCACGGTCCAACACGCACACACTACCACATTTACCTGCCTGTGACAACGGTAATAATTGCTTTCACAACGACCGCGACGACGGCTCACTGCCACTACTACTAGATACTAACTAACGCGCGGAGAACGGCAAATAATAACAAAAATAATAATAATAATAATAATGATATAGCAGCAGCAACAGTTCCGTGCCCGCGTCGACAGCGGGGCTGGAGGGGACTTATCAGCGACTGACGGGGGTCTTTGTTTTGGTTTCCGTCATCGCGCGATGATTACAAATACGGTTGGAGGTAAACTCGAACAGCGGTAGGTCGTAATACCTGTGCCGTCGGATCGTCATCCGATCGATACAGTGAAGTTGAACGCGACATACTAATAATAATAATATTATCACGTATTATTATTACCTATTGTCTTCCGTTGTTTTTCGGTATCTGCAGACCTACTACCGCAGAAAATCGTAGAAAAATTTATGATACATTAAATTACGATGTTTGTTTCGTCGGAGGTGAAAACAATAATACCGATACTGGCGGTACTTATAATAACAATATGATTTAAGCTTTTATAAAGTAGGTAAGAAAAATGATCGTACTTTTACTATATTATTTTTTTGTGTATCATATTATAGCTGTTTTCTTATTATTGACCGTCGATTAAACATGTACGAGTTAGCGACCGATTTTACAAATGATTACAAGCACAATTAACTATAATACAATATTACAATTTCCTGTAATTATTAATTTTAATTGTTGACTACCTACTCGACGTTTTACTTTTTTACAACATACCGACAAATTATTATAGTCACTAGTCAGTAAAATACTAAAATGTACTTAATAATTCATTGTACACTGCAATTTAATATTTATTTTAAGTTACCTATGTATTAAACAACAAAATAAAGTACCTATTCATAATTACATCCTATTTTTACATTACAATTCACCATTATTAATAGTTGATGGAGTAATAAGTTTCTATAGTGTAAATAGTTTTTTAAAAAAAAAACCACATACAATTTAAAAAAATAAATAACCCAACGGTACGTTTTCTCATATATTTTTCTAATGAAACATGAAAAAATCAATATATATATAAATATATCATTAACATTAAAAAAAAAAAAAAAAAAATAGAATTTTAAATGTGAAACAACTAATGTTTTGTGCCAAATTTAACGTATAGAAATGGTATAGATAAAAAAAAATTTCAATTAAAATGTAGGACAGCTTGTTTTTAATTATTAGCTAATGCTCTGAATTAAACACACTAAAAAAAAACCACAAATTAACCAAATAAGCCATATCACTATAAGTTACTCAGCTATAAATATTTGTAAAGATTTAGTTCTAAACAATTCCAAATAATTTAAAAATAAATAGCATTCAGGTGTTTGAATTTTGGCTATCCTTCTCTTTGGTTCTCTCATTTTTTATGATGAAATATCTTTAAATAAATACCACATAAAAACCTATCAATAAATCTGGCATTATAAGAATGTCGAGATTAAAGCAGAAGATTCGTAAATTTCCTTACTGTAATAGCCTAAAAGTACTTACATTGAACACTTTAGCCTTTAAATTGAAATTTCAAATTTTTTTCCTCTGGATAAATTTATTTATTAATTTTTAAAATTTCATTAAGTTTTAATAAATACTTTTTAATTGATAAAAATATTATTATACAAAATATTTAATTTATTTATTTATTTTATTATCTCATAATAATTTTAATTATATGTATTTAGATTTTTTGTTTAATAAATAATAATATGCGCGTATTTTTTTATATTTTATTCTGTTATGTTACAAGTAGGTGTTAAGTAAATTAATTAGCGGCGTCCTTTTTAGGAAATAGAAACTTATTTTGTTTTATATGACCATACGACTACTTGAATGGTTATTTATCAACGATATGTCGCGTATGCACAATAGCTTTGTAATATCTATAGCTTATCGGTATGTTTAACCGTATAGGTAGGTCATACTTAACTATAGTGTTTCTCGGTAATAGTCCTGCACACTGATATTTCATAGTTTATTACTATTAAGACAATAGTTAAAATCCATAAAAGTTCATTAACAAAAATATCTAATACCTACTATTAATTTATTTTTGTGTATGATAATATTATTCATAAGTATATAACAAGTTTTCGCTGTGTTAAAAATGTATAATCGTATCTTATGTATGTAACCATTACATCAATAATACATACCTATACAAATTGTACCTAAATATATACCAACTTTAGCATAGTCGTATAGAGTTATAAATTAGAGGAAATAGGGTTACATAATTAACCCCAAAATATTTTGTATTATAAATTTAGATTTTCCGAATGATGAATATATTCGTTTTTCAATGTGTGATTTTTTAAAAAAAACTGCTATATTGAGAGTAAATTTTGGTATAAAATTAGATTCAGCTTAAACTTTGGTAGAGGGAAGGGTAAAAAGTAAGTGCTTTGCAATACAATTATGTACAAATTACCAGTATTTGATAAAAATTGATTTTTTTTATTTGAGAATTGAATGGTCATCATAATAATTTTGAGGATGTTTTTAATATTTTATAGTTACTAGGAAATTATTTTCACAATAATAATTAATGTTTATAGTTTTTTAGTTGGAATATTCGTGGGTGTGTTGTGTACACATAAAATGTGTATTTGTTGTATGTTATTCATGTATTTTTAAGTTAAAGCTATTATTTTTTATTCCTTGTCTATCGAACAAAAAAATACAAATATGTTTTTTCATTAAAACACGATATTATATAGCTATACATATTTACAAACAATTGTTTTCCGGAAATGTACAACATTACAACAACAATAATTTACAATAATTAAAGGTATGTAATTAGGAAAGATAAGAACAAATGTAATCACCTACACATACCTCTTTACCTACGATCAAAAAATTAATTTTCAAAATACATTGACTTTTTTGTATTAGTTAAAAGTACTTGAATTTTTCAACTTTTTGAATTAATGTTGTTTTTTTTATTCAATGACTTATCAATTATATACGAATTTCCCAACAAGTTATTCTTACAGTAGGTTATCCAAAAGTATTGCAAATACGTATCTAGATAGTAATAATTTTTTCACAATAGTTTTTTTCTTATTTATTCTTTTATATTCTTTTTTATTTTTATTTAATCATATATTATAGCTGAATTGGTTTTTAAATTTGTTTATAATGATAATAATTATAGGTATTAAAAAATATTTATATTTGTTTAATAGAAATAATTCTTCTTTTTTACTTTCTTTTATTTAATAAAAGCTTGGATTTAAATAGGAACTAACAGTGTATAGGACTGTAAGACTGTTGGAGTGCTAAGGTCTAGGAGTACCTACATGACTATGTCTACGGTCTACGTAAGAGACAATCTACTTTTGTAGGTGGTTTATGGTTACTAATGTTATTATCTCTCTTTTAAAGAACATCTATTGGTTTATTTTATTTTACAGTTACTTAACTCATTATTACCTTGTTATACATGCGATTTGATGGAATCCGGTTAAACGTATAAAAAAAAATTAAAATTAGTTTTAATTGTAAATTCTGCGCCTGCACTTTTTTATAGTGAATTTAACGTGAGTCAAGTTGTGGCTCCCAACCCTATTGAAAAATCTTCCCAGTAAAATTGTAAATTATAGCTTTTTAGTTATAATTATGTAATTGTAATAATTGCATGCTCATTTCCGCTGAATTTGTGAGTTGATTGAAAACTTTTGAAATCATATTATCGGGGCAGACTCCAGACACCCATTACGGACAAATTTAAATTTCTGTTAACAAACAATTGGTTTCATTGTTATTGTTATTTCAGTTTTTTATTACTTAATTTTTTTATAATTATTATTGTTATTAACTATTAATTAATACTAATTATTATATTGTATTTTTATTCAATTATTTAAACTATTCTGCAAACAAATAATAGTAAAGACTATATAATTATTATAGGTACTCTATTACTGTAGAGACTTAAAATTTTCAACAAATATTTTCTATCAACATTTTATAGACATGATATAATTTTCAAGATATTTGACTCTTTTTGTGCTATTTATAAACATTTAAAATGTTAAAATTTTTGAAGTTTTTTCAATATTATATACAAACATAATATTCTTGTGTTATTAAAAGGTCTTGAAAGTTAAAGACCTAACCTAACCTAATCTTGTTAAAATAGGCAAAATATTCATAAAAAAATGTTAAATATGCAAAAATATTATTCATAATATTGAAAAAACCATTTAATGTTGTTACATAAACACAAATGTAAAAATATGGAATTTTTATTTATCTCTATTTGTTCAATTACTATATGAAGTGCAATCTTTCAATTTTGAAGTACACGTTATACTTATACAGTTAACTTATATCATAATTTTTTCAATAAATGCCTTCCTTGGAGGTTTTTCCCTTCCTTTATGTCGGTTTATGTGTCCTTCAAATATATTATATTAGTCATAAATAAGTATTGTACCTCAGTAGATTACCAAACATTTTACCATTCCTTTCTCTCGTGGTAAAAAAACTGCATCCTTTTTTTTCTCCCACTTGATTTAATACTTCAAAGTTCCTTTTGGTCTCTTCTAATGTGTTACTAATTGAAAACTAAATTACTCATGATAACATAAATAAATTATAAAACATCTTTGAAGTATAGATGACACACTTACACTGTTACACTCTTACATACCTTCAAATCTCTAAATCGTTTTTCATATAAAGTGATTTATCATTGAATTCACATTAAACACGTCCATAACATTACAGTGACTGAGATTTCTTACATACCAAGAAAGTGATAAAGCATAGTGACTTTTTCTATTTTTATAGTTGGTATCCAGGATGACAGTTCAAAAATATATTATATTATAATATTAATTTATCAAAAAAAGAATATAGCTACATAATAGATAATAATTCTTCCATAAAACAATTTCTTAGACTCTATTTTTATTGTATTAATAAGCATAAAAATAATTATGTAAAATGTATTTTACATTACATTAACAACATCATGTTTATATCATTAAATAAATAAAAATAATTATTATTTATTTTGTAGAATTCAGATACAGATGTTTATTATTAGGTAAATCAATGCATATTA